GAGATTTTTAGACCGTCTTCGAGCTGTGGGGACAACATATGAATCACTCACTGAGCGTTCGATTCAACTTCTTGAATGATGAAAAATGCTGGGGAAAACGCTTGCAAGTAATTGACTATTTTCCTAGTGCTCAATAATAAACTGGATTACAGCCAAGACTCAGGCGAGAGATATGCATCTCCTTGCACTGGCCTTGACTGAAAGCTACTTCAAGTTCATTTTGAGTGATCGCGTGGTAACAATCCTCTGCCACTAGGTACCTCTTTAGTGTAGTTAGTATGTGCTCCAATCGCCTTCTTCATTAAATCAAGCTTTTCCGCATTCTGCAAATAATAATGAAGAAAACAATGCCAGTCTAGGGTGTATAAATCGTTTGAATGGAACCTCTTGGCCAGTACTTTGATGTGGTTCTATATTTTGCGATTTTTCAGCATTTTACAAAATGAAATTTGGAAATTTTGTCAGATTTTGACTTTGGCCGCTTTTAGGAATAAAAAAGGGGTAATAGGGACTAAAATTGTTCTAGTCTTGCATTACAGAGCACTGAAGGAATTCTGCTGATACAGTATGAGCGTGGTTTCTGTAGGTGATCAAGGGAACTGCCTACAACAGAGATTCTCTCACTTAATGTCTAAAGTTGCAAATAAATAACTTACGGTTTTATTGGGTGACACCATGGCTTTAACAAACTCAGACGAAGCGATGGAGGCAGAGCGGATGGTGTCAGTTCTTCCCAGGAGAAACTTGCGAGTTGAGCCGGTCTCGTAAGTTGGAGGATTGTGATTATGAAGTCTGCAGACAAATGAAACAAACAAAGAAACAAAATGAAAAACATAGAAAGTGCGAAATTCAAATTAAGTAAATCTTTGTCATATGAGACGCGAACCTGTTTTAGTAAAAAGTTTTTTATGTGAACGGTTGAATCAACAGCGTCGAAATGAATTTTGGGGTTAGTCATTTAGTTCTGCATTTCTGCGTGGCTGACCAAAGAATTCTCGCGCAACCTTCTCAACCAATTAGGAGCAGCCCTAAAATTATTCGTTAGATATTTGCGCGCCTAAGTTACATGCAACTCCTTCAAGATGTGTTTGCCCAAACAATCTAGTGCCCCTTTCTTAGCCAATAAGGAGCTGGCCGAAAATAATTGGCGAGTTATTTCCGCGCGCAGTTTCACCGCACCTGGCGTCGGTTGCAGATTACTCCTCCAAGATGTGATTGGTCAGATAAATACGATGTTTTGGGTTGGGAGTTCAAATAATTTCACACGCTAACTTCTACAATAATTCGATATGGCAAGTCCACACCCACAACAATAGCTTGTTCCAAGCGTTCAGATAGTGGAGTGCAGTGCGAAGTCAGAGAGCGGGAAAAAATGCGGAGGAAGAGAGGGGGACCCATGAGTCGTTTATGTAGATTAATTACTTTGGAGTCTGGAGAAAGAGGCTTTCTGCTCATATTCATTCTATATTTGGTTTGGTTTTCTTTGTGCTCAAGTCTCTTCTGGGAATTGCGAGACAATGGAGTCGTGAAAAATTTGCAATTTTGTCCCTAAAGCCTAAGAGTCGTGATAGAAATTTCATATATCAAACGGGGGAAATTTAAACGAACTTTCGTGATAGCATTTTTCACCAAAAATGTTCCTTCACTAAAAAGGTGTTTGTTGGTTTGTTTGTTTGTTTTTGCTTGATGAAGGCCTGAAGCATTATGTTAAAGGTGTTCTTTACTTATAAACGCAATACCTGTAAAATGTTAACTGAAATGCCATTTGTATCCAGGCGTCTGGACTCATCTTCTGCTTTTTCACGAATGATTTACCATAGCCATCATAAATAAAACACCGTAAGTCAATGTCCTGGATCATTCTGAGAGAAATGTCAAACAAAAACATTACTGTTTGCATGGTAAACATCACGTGATATACGTATAGACTGCGTGCGAAGTTACACAGGTTACCACAAGCATTCCATTAAATACACGCTGGTTTGAATTCTGTATATTGCTAGGGTCAGCAACATTGATGTACCGTGACGATGCGTTCATTAAAACTACCTTGATGTACATGCGGTAGTATTTATAGCGTAAAGGCAGGTAGGGCTGGACTTAAACAAATATTATTTTCAAACAAAACAAAAAGTATCTCAGCTAGCAAGAGGCAAGTCGTTGGCAACTTATAAGCGTGGTGGAGTATTCGAACTCAAGACTACCGAGAAATAAATTCAGAAACTGTGAGGGCGGAACTTGAAGTCGGATCCGCGGGATTGTAAGTCCCATGCTCTAAACACTCGTCCACGCTGCCATGTTTCGAGATTTTTGTGTGTGTCTTTGGGAGTTTGAAGCGCATCAGACGATGCGCTGCAAAAATACCCCAGTGTAGTGCAGCAACAATCACATGGCTCTTGCTTTCAAACATCTCAGCAGTAATATGGTCATGTTTGGGTAACAGAAAGTCAGTTAGTCACTTACGCGTCAAGATCACAAGCTGACTGTTTAATGGCCTCCTTTACTTTACTAGATAAGTTCCACTTCAGCTTGGATGGAGTTTCCAAATGTCTTGCGTCTGAGGGTTCTATGTGTAGATGGTTTTCCCTAAAACAAAAAAAGTAAGAAATTTACAACAAATAAGACACCAGAGAACGGACAGTCCAAAAAAATTGGAAAGGGGAACAAGTAACTTTTATTTGAATTCGATTGACCGATTTCGAAAACTACAACTATTTAACAATTATTCCTCGAGGCCGAATGGGCTATTAGAGAGTTTTAGATCAGAGTTTACCGCGAACCTCTAACCGCTGGAGGTCACGTGACAAGTCTTTCGCGTCACGTTTGAGGTTTACGACGTGCGTTTTCAACGTGGGGAGGTAGGTTTTCACGCATGTCATTTACCTGAAAGCTTCTAGCGTATAATTCTTGTTTTATCCCACGTAATGATACAAAAATCTTGTGGAGCAAGTCTTTATCCATTAACAGAGGCACAAATTTGGGCGAAATGGCTAATTTTGATAAATCCTATTGGATCTTGAAAACAAGTGCCATTCATGGCTGCTGATTCAAAATGGCGGCCGTAAATTTGCAAGAAGAACTAATGTAAGAATTTACAGCTCTTTGCTGCTAGATAACCCAGTGTTTACCTAAATATCTTTTATTTTCACTGATTGATATTTCTTCTATTTCTAAATGGAAAAATAAACCTAGAATGGCTTCTTTAATCCACCACCACTCTAAATCGAATAATGTTTGAACGTCGAACGGCAAACGGGTAACCGCAAACCACGGTTAGAGGTTCGCGGTAAAGTCGGATCTAAAACTCTCTATTGACTCAGAGGCCATAAGGGCGAGAATATATACCCACAGACTCCATAACCTTTTTACCCAGACCACTGCCGTGACAAACGGAAAACAAAAACACATACAACAGAAAAAATAAGTCACAAAAGCGAGAGTTGCTTGTTTAAGCTACGTTTCAATGTGGCCACCGTTAACATTTACCGAGTGCATCTGATTCGTCCCAAGACGTCTCTTACAAACGCGCGAAGACGACTGGGGACGAGTCAGGCACTGCATGGTTACTGTGACAATACCAAAAAGGCTAACAGCCCAGGCTACAGAAGCAACAACCGTTCAAAAGATTATAAGACAACCGGGCGACCCATTTACTTTGATTCCTTCCCTTTATGCATGAAAGAGATGAGAATTTTCCCGTACAAGAAAAGGCGGAAGTAGCTACAGAAAAACAGGACAACATTGAAAAGATGGAGGAGGAAGAAGAGGAGGGGGGAGGGAGGGAGAAGAAGAGGAGGTGGAAAGGAAGAAGAAGATGGAGGATGATGAAGGATGATGAGAAAAAGGAGGAGAAGGAAAAAAAGGAGGAGAGGGAGGAAGAGCGGAGGAGGTGAAGAAGGATGGGGACGAGGAGGAGGGGAAGGAGAAGGAGGGGTAGGAGAAGGAAGGGAAGGAGGAGGAGGAGAAGGAGGAGGTTGAGCAGGAGGTGGGGGGAAGAAGAAGAGGGGAGGAGGGGAGGAGAAGAGGGAGGCGGAGGGGGATGAGGAGAGGAGTCACGTATCACACGACAAGTTTAAACTTACAGGTTATCAAGGATGTGATTACATAAAGCAGCTACGGGTGGTCCCTCAGCAGCAGAGTGTTCATAACACATTCCAGCATGTCCATCTACACTAACACAAATCTGAAAACAAAAACACAATAAAGTTCAAACTAAATTGATGTTCAACGTCACTGTATTAAACTGTCTAATTCTCATCAACGTGAAACACCGTAAGAAACGCAGCAAACCGACAGCAAGCAAGATTAAGAAGCGTAAAGGAGTTGTGGTAGGGGAAGAGTTAGCCTACCAACGCAGATCCGGTCGTCGCTTCCCTCCCCCCGAATACTTTTCGGGTGGAGCGCGGGGGTGGTATTTGCGCCCTTTCGGACTGAAAACGGGAATAGACTTTGCAGATTCTGGTTTGGAATCGGGTGTAGTTGTCATAGTTTTCGAGGGAACTACGGGAGTGTAGTATGAACGTATTCATTGTTCAAATTTCAACGGTTAAGAATTATAAAGAACAAAAAAAAAATTCGAAACAGATTTTAAGAAATCTAGGCGTTAAAATCTAAGTGATGATAACAAATTTTTTAGAGAACAGGTCTGAAAATAAGTATGGATTTGAGAGGCACGGTAAGAAAACGGGTGTGGGAAATGCCAGTTTTTGGCCTGAAATAGGGTGAGGATTCGGAGAATCTGGTGTCACACCCCCCTTGGGGCGGGGAGGGAGTGGAAAGAAGCGACGAACGAAAATACGTCTGCGTTCTCAGCCTAGAGTAGAGTGGGAGAGCGCGAATATCTATTTTTCTCACTTCCTGTCCACTCCCTCACGCAATCAGCATTGACACATGCATCCGGTTAAAGCACTCATCGAACAATAAACGAGCCAACAGAGGGCTGAGAACCGTCAGACCAGTCTCTCGATTGTCCTGATTCAGCACTGTCGAGTTTCCCCTTCAGTATCAAATCCTGGATTTGTTCGATTGAGTACTTGTTTGCGATATCGGACGAGAGTCTAGAAAAGAAGAATGAGTGAACGGGCTAAGGAAACGGTGAGTTTACGCATTGCGAATTAAAACCGATTTCATTTTCGACTTATCCATTTCTAAAAGAAAGCGGTTTCCTTCACTATTGTGGCAAATTCTTTTCCTCGAAAATCGTTTGTATATAATTCCAATCCCAGTCGATCAAACTTGGCTTAGAACTGTTTCTGATTTATTAGTCGGAAAGGTTTTGCTTGAAGTTCAGAATTCAGCTAAGTCAAAATGTACTTGGCCAGGTAAAAATGAAGAGGAAACCGCATCATTTGCAGTGCAGTCCCACTGATATTTTTCTTAGGACAGCTTTTTCCTGCATTGATGAATGGTCAGCAAGTGTTCCGGTAGAAAGTTCAACCAGAATATTCAGTGAAAATATCTAGCATATTTTACCTAAACTACGACATGTTTAATCCGGCATTGGAAAAAACGCAAAAGTGATAGTGAAACAATAATTTGCGCTGAGGAACATTTCAAGGAATATTGTCAAAGAACCATACTCTGTCAAACATGCGACGTAACGCTTCTTTTAATTGATAAAATTTAAAAGGAGCGAAATTTCAGGTTTGAGTTGTTTTTCTTCAAGGAAAAGGACTTGCATTCGAAAGTGAAAATGAAATAAGGGGTTTTTCCCAACACAAGTAAAGAATAATTAAGGTTAATATACAAATGACCTGACTGTTGAGTGGAAGTTGGTGTGCGATGTAAACACAATTTGATGATGCAATTTCAGTTTCGTGGAAAATGTTGCCATGTTAAGTCAGGCTCTTAAAAGATCATTCTGACGTTCCTGCCTCTTTCTGACATTACAGGACGCGCTTGTCGAGACAGATAAGGAGGTCCGTGTGAAATTTAGACGGCTTTTAAGCATCTTCTCTGAATTTTTCAACGTTTTTAAGTGGATATGTGCTGTGTTGGTGCTCGTAGCTCGCTTGGTTGGCCTCTCCATGTTCACAACCTGGGTAGTGGATTGTTTCAGCAGAGAATTTCACACTACGGCCCTTTGTGAGAGCTTCACCCTTTTTCCTCGCCCTAAGATATTTGAGAGCGTCTGGCTATGCCTATGTATTGCGACTTCCGCTTTCTTGATCCTCCATGCATGTCGCTTGAACCACTTCCCTGGTTTACGTCCGGTTTTACAGCACCTGATCAGGAAAAAATACTTCATGAAGCTTCTTCTCACACTTTTTGCGGTCTGCGTCTACAACGTTTTGACAATGACACACAACACAGATACATTAAAAACAGTGGTTTACATCATCTTCGTTTTTGAAGAGTCTTTCGCGGTGGCAGTGGTTCTCGTCTTGAACTTTCTCCCCTCAGATGCAGATGATCTGCGTCAAAAGAACTCTCTCTTAAAACTGGTGCTTTACAAAGCAGCTTTAGCGGTTTACGTAGTCGAGGGTTACACAATGGCCATGCTTGGTACAGCAATTGCTGCTTACCAAGTACTCAATGTTCCTAGCATTCAAGACAGCAGTAAAGATCCACCTGAAGTAAAGGCCGTCGCCAGTTTGATGCTCTTAATCATCAACAACGCTCTGAGAGTTTACTTAGCGGAATTCTTCCTTTCAAAGGTTTATGACCAAGATGCGGACATCTTAGGAGGCGGAACAAAAAGCATCGCGGAAAGCCTTGCACTACCTGTAGGTCAAGCTCAAGAAGATAAAAAGGCGTCAACTTCTGTGTAAATGAAGTGAACATTTTCAGATTTAATGTTAAAATCACCTTACTGATTTCAAATGTGGTTTTGGAAAATCGTAAGAAATTAATAGTTCTGTGTAAAAGTTCCGTCAAAGAGGTTCCTTAGAATGGCAACATCATAGGATTTCCTCTATAAATTTTTAAGCAAAAATGACGAATCATCCTGCTATAACTTGGTCTAGGAGTGGATAAGATAGGAGAAAAGAAGACATAAATTTTTACTGTTACTAAATTTTTATATTTGCAGCGAATACCCCAAACAACTATCCACAACTGAATATGCAACCTTTTGCTGTGTCAGTAAATAAACCTCTTGAAGAGAGAAACCCTTTCCCTTGTACAAACTTTTCAGAAACAAAAACAACTCAGAAGGATATACCAAACTGGATATTAGAGCAGTGTATGTTACTTAGGCGTAGTTTAGAGCTTTTAGGGGCAGGGGTGTAGTTTTGACAGGGTGCACAGTTTTAACTAAACCGGAACCCGCGAGTGGAAAGTCAGGGGCAGGCGGGCATAACAAAACTTTTAGCAGTTACGAGTTGTAAAGTTAAACCAAAGTACACGTCAACGCGCAAGTACTTCATTGGTCGTCGAGATGCAGATAAGTTCCTGGTTTTTCCTGGTTTCCGATAAGAGAATTATTCCACCGCTCGATGGGGGCTTCACGTATTCATACGCCATTTTCATCTTCGGCCATTCGACGTGATTTTGCTTCCAACAGACTCCTCAGCTGGACTAGAAATGTCTGTAATGTCTGTAAATGCCTGTACGCCGCCGTCAAGTACACAACTACTTTTGGTCTTAATAATTCCTTTTCTTACTTTTTAACTAAGCAGTGGACAGCACTGCCTGACATTTTTTGGCAACAGTGTTTTTGCAGATTTTAAGACCAGCAGATTCAGTCTATTGCTTTCACATACCATACTTTTTTTTTCTTTCTGCTCGTGAAGATAAAGTTGTAAATATTAGTTCATTTTAAGTGCATAGATATAATTCTTGTTCTTGTAATGTTTTTAATGTATCTTATGTGTTGCTTTCTGGAAGATATTAGGTTTGAAAGCTACTCTAAAATTCGAGCGTAAATAAAGTTAATGAATGTAACTCCTCGTGAAGCCTGAACTCCCGTGAAGTTATAGTCAAAGCTCTACAACTACATTCTTCCCGGAATACAAGTATGTATGTATGTATGAACGTATATGTTGTGGTTCAATTTTTTCCCTGGGTTAAATTTTATTTTCCTTTGTTTTGGGGTATGGCAATGTATGTTACTGAGATCGATACATAATGGTAATTGAACTGAGTGGAGTACAATATGGTCTGAAATCATACGAGTGATTTCAAAATCGAACAAGCGCGCAGCGCGAGTTCGATTTGAAATCACAAGTATGATTTCAGACTAAACTTGCACGACACGAAGTTCAATTACCACTTTATTACATCCATTTTGAAATCGCAGAAATTAGTTAGCACTAATATTTTATTGATCAAGTAGCCGGTTTGTTAAAAAGCCGAAACAAAAAGGCTTTTACATCTCATTTTGTATTCGAAACAGAAATGATGCGATATAGAACAAAAAATGGTGCGATTTAAAACTGAAATTCGCGATTTGGAAAAGATGCGATTTAGAGCAAAAACTGGTGCGATTTAGGAATAAATCACACTGCTGAGAGCCAATCAGATTGCACGGATAGCCAGTGATTTCAAAGTGAATGTAATAAAAAGGAAAATAAAATTTAAACCAAGGTTACGAAAAAATTGAACCACGATATATACATTATTTGCAGCGCCGGTCTTCTTCTAAATCGCATTTCACACCTGCCGAATGCATTCGAAAGGACTATCGTTGGCTGGTTAGACAGACTGTCCATAACGCTTCCATGATGTTACGATGCCCACTTGGGTGTTCAACAAGGAGACTTGTCATTTGCGTGTTGTACACTGACAGAGTGACATTTTATAATAAATCGTGTGATTAGCAAAGCACCAGGACATCTGCTGATTAATTGTGCAGAGAAAACGCAGCCAATGGCCCAAAGTTCTTTATCAGGGACATTTCCTTATTCAGAAGATGACACAGGCTTATCACACATTTTCGTCTAACGTGCCTGAGTAAGAAACTTTACGAAGACGAATGCCACCCTTTGCCCCTCTGGGAGATACCATGGAGCTCTCCTTGACTTTTGCTCCTGGGCAGCAAAAAAGTCCAAGCCTTTTTTTGTTTTTGTTTTTGCTTTTGTTTTGTTTTGTTTTTTTTTTCAGAGAAATCATATGCTGGGTAACTGGGTTCCCTTCAATTTTTGAAAGAGCACAGCCTTGAAATTGAATACTATCAAAAGTCCGCAAATGTTGATAGAGAATCTAGCATTGCAGTATTCTAATAGCATTCATGCTACTAAAACAGTGGCCACTTTAATCGCTATGTAGCCACGTAGCCAGATAGCCGCGTAGCCACGTTTCTGCCTCTTTCTTTAAGCCCATTATTCTTGGCACCTAAAGACACAAACCACGTTTTTTGGGTCTGGCTTTTGGGTCCGCTCATTTGTCCATTTTCTGCCTTCCTAGATTTTGAAAGCCCAGACATTCTGGTAAATAACAACTAAATACATCGACAAGTTTGCCGGTCGTTTCGATACAAGTTAATTCAGTCACGTTTCACGTACTTGGCTTAAATAACGAGAAATATTCACCCCAAATCTTTTTCTTGTACACGCACAAACTATACTTGATTAAAAAATGATGTGATCGAAATTGTTGTGCAGTTTCACTGCTTAAGTTCGTATCGAAATGACTTGTATCGACGAAACAACTTTGTATCAAAACAATCGGTTTCATCGACTGCCATAATTCAGTGTGCGGTACCTGCACAATTTTGTCAAACCATCTGTTACAGCTGTTGTATTCCGTACCATCACCATGCAGAGACTGGCGTGCAGTAACTGAGCAGGTTGGATTCTCCATAACACTTGGAGATTGAGTCGAGTGAGGTGGAGGCTGGTCTAGACACAGAACAAAGACAGCTTTTTCTATTGCTTCAAGGTTGGCCTTGTTTTTACGATCTGTGATTGGACAACAAAAAGGCAATCACTGTTTAGCCCAACAGAGCGATTTTCGTATGACCTTGATATGAAAACGCGCGAACAAAACGGAAATAACAAACGAACGGAAGTAGAGCGATTTGATTGGTTTATCGAACGGATACAAACGCGCGTGGCTTTTGGTTGGTTAAGCGAACGCTCGGGTGATAATCAATCGATACTTCGCTTTGACGTCATACTTCAACACGATTGGGCCAATCGAACAATGCCTTCTCCATATTAGGGTTTTCTTTGGCGGGAAAACGAAGAGTCCATGTCTTGATCTTTCCATCCATTGGCTGATTAAATGGATAACGAACACTTGCCGAAACCATTTTTCAAGGTCATACGAAAATCGCTCTAAATACATGTACAGCGAATAGAAACAGTACAAAAATATAAACGCGATGTATTTTGGACATAAATCAGATGTGACACAGGTGCACTATATTCTACAGTACAGCTAAACATGATCCCATCCTTGCCTTCATCATCATCATCATCATCATCATCATCATCATCACCATAATTATTCACCACTATCAGATCACCATCACTAATTACTATTATAACTCATTCAAAATAATTATTTGTTTGTTTATTCATTTATACAGGAACATCTGGTTTAGCATGCATGAAGTTGATTTAAACAGAGTCCTGTAAAAAAAAATTCCCTGTTTCTGATTGGCTCAAATCCCGAGGATAATTCTTCATAACCAGCTAGCGTTGAACAAATTTGGAAGCGGTTTGCAGTGTGTAAAAAATGACGTCAATACTACAGCATAAATGCCAGAACCATGGGCAGTAACCGAGGACTACCAACATCAGCATAACGATAATCATCATTATCATCATCATCACGGTTGTCATCATAGACATAACTGCTAGCCTGCGTAGCAGGCGCTTGGAAGTAGTGGGGAAATGAGAGAACGGGCGCGCGCGAGGGAGACACGCGAGGGGTGTCTCCCCTCGCGTGTCTCCTTCTCGCGCGCCCGTTTTTTCTTGCGCCCACTACTTCCAAGCGCCTGCTATGCAGGCTGTAACTGCCACCAGATTATCACAATCATTGTCACTATTATTAAATAGGGAGCTTAAGCAACGACGACGACGACGGCAGTGAAAACGTCGATAAAAGAAATGAATTTGCGCTCTTTCAAATGTAATCACGTCTATTTGGACCCGCTCAATATGCCAAATGAAGGCGACATTTCCTGGAGATGAATTCTTAAGGACTTTATCGAGGTTCAAAAACAGAAAGAAAAATCGTCGTCGAATGTCCACGTCCTCCGCATTAGGAGTTTTCACGTGGTAGTCATGCAGTGGACGTCAAAGAAATGTACTAAAAAGCGTGATGCATGTGCAAAACGTTCTTTTGCTCATAAAAGCAATTGTTTTTTGAAGTTGTCGATGTGGTCCCCGTCGTTGTCGCTTAAGCTCCCTGTTGTCACCACCATCAACAGCAACATTGCAAGTGGTTAACTCAGGGTGTACTAAGCATCTCTCGTACCCCTTCCAAGTCCCGTTTTGTATCCAACTTCAAGTTCTCCAAAGTGATCTCCATACATTTTCTTAAAGAATTAGTTGAGAGAATTTCAAAAGATCGAATCATTTTCCCTTACGTGATTATCTTCCCGGGGGGGGGGGGGGGGGGGTTATTTTTTTTTTTTTTAAATTTTTTTTTTGGTTTTTATTTTTTTTTATTTTTTTTTTCTTCTTTGTGGTGTTTGGGGGGTACACACTTTTTTTTTTTTATTTTACTTTTTTTTTATTATTTCACCATTTTTTACCTTTATCTCCTAAAA